TCCATGCTCAAGGTAAGGGACCCCCAGCTCCGAACACCCATACTACTACTTAGTTTGGACCGGCATCCCTATAGCTCGGCCCAGCCATCCATCACCTCCTACTGACTTGAGTGTCGGAATACCAACCCGGGGATAACTCCTCGAACCTCTGACTTCTCCTTTCTTGATCACAGGTCTTGAAGCGCGGTCGCGTCCATATACACCGCCCTGTTGGCAAGGACTATTTGGTTGCTCTCCTTAGTTTGTGCACCACCTTGGATTAAGCAACATCAGATTGGTGCCGTCTGTGGGAAACGCACAAAAAACCTTTCCCAAAAATCTTTCATTCCTCACTGCACAATCAAGAAAAGTGATCAAGATGCTCAAGAACCAGTTCGAACGATCAACAGGTCGATCCCCATCTCGAGAATCTCGGCATCGCAGCCCTCCGCATCAAGAAATTCCACAGCCTCCAGCCGCGATTGATCCTGTATAGTTCCGATCAATGCAAGAGAGTCGATAAGATCTTCGAGATGATGCAGACACTAGGATCTGTGGCACCGTCCAGCCGGACCATCCCCCTCATGCCCCAATGCATACGAAAGACGATCCTCATCCCGAGGACCCCAAAATGTGCTGGCTGGAAAGGAGGGGAGTGCGGTCCAAGCGTGAGAAGCAAAGACACAACAAGGAGGTTTGCCTCCATGGCCCGCTCCCGTGAGCCCGACAACCGCACACACGCACCACTTCACACACACTGCGTAAAATGTGCTACACCGCCGTGCTACACAGCCGCACTACACAGCCACGCTACATCGTAGCTCGACGCACCTCCCCGACTCAACTGATCTTTGAACGGCTTGAGCCCATGATCCATAGCTCGGTAGCGTATCACTGACCAACTTGACTCGACTGTCCACAGACCAAGCCTAAGGTGGAGAAGAACGCCCTCGCCCATCAAGGCTTGAGGGCAATCATTAAACTCCACTCATCCACCGACTAACAGTCGGTCAGAGCTAGCTGAGCAACGACCAACCCTCGAAGGGCCCCAAAAGCTCCCGAGACCAAAAACTGAGCATCCCAAAGATGAAAGCTCGGAATATACTCCGGCTCCACTAGTTGGAGATTGAAGATCTCAGTCAACCCCAGACCTCGGCCAAGGTAAGGCCGAGGAACCGAAAAAAAAATGATGTATGTATGCACAAAAGTTTAGAACAAAAAAGTTTCATTAAGTTAAGCCATCAATACAGTAGGTTAAAGCTCGGCATACTGAGCTACTACAAGAACAGGAAAAAACAAAGAACCTCGCGGCCATTCAATCCTTGGCGGGGGGAACAGTGGCCTCGTCACCGTCCTCACTAGCCTCGTCACCGGCCATTCAATCCTTGGTGGAGCATCTAAGTCATATGCCTCCCAAATCTGTGCAATCTCACTCAGCTCTGGGCAGTGACGTAGAGCCCTCCTGTGGAAGACGTTGAATCCAACTTCAAAGGAAGTCGAGGCATACTAGTCCATCTCTTGTCGGAGCTCCACCGAGGCCTTGTACCGATCTACCGCCTCCTTGGTGGCCTCTTGCCTTAGCCGCTCCTTCTTTGCCTTATGCTCGGTGATCTCTTGCCTCGGGCCTCGCACTACGTTCGCCTGCTAAGCCAACTGGGCCTTCAGCTCAACCACCTCCTTCTCCAGCGTAGCTGACTGCTCCCTTGCTACTCAAAGCTCGGCCTCCCACTAGCATCAAAAACCCTTCATCGGCACCCGGCCAAGCTAAGCCCCCAACTTCGGAGCTCGGCACACCATGGTCGAGCATCACAGTGGCCTCAACACCGAATCTCGGCCTCCTACCGGCATTAGAAAGCCCTTCCTTGGTACCCAACCAAGCTAAGCCCTCGACTTCGGAGCTCGGCACACCATGGCTGAGCATCACAATGGTCTCAACACTGAAGCTCGACCTCCACTCGACACCCGGTCGAGCTAAGCCCCCGACTCTGGAGCTCGGCGCACAATGGCGGAGAATCACAATGACTTCAACACCGAAGCTCGGCCTCCACCAGGAATCAGAAAGCCCTTCCTCAACACCCGGTCGAGCTAAGCGACCACGCAACATTTCAGCCGAGGAACGAAGTGCCCTTCCTCGGCTCCACTAGGAAGATGGACTTCGAAGCTCATCTCGACACCTCGGCGCCCTGCCAAGCTACACGACCACATAACACTTCGGCCGATCACTCTCCTCCTCGGCTCCAGAATTAGGGGAGTGGTGTTTGGATTCCAAAGTTAGAATTCTTAGAGTTCTACAGCCGACGATTGAAGGACTCCCCGGCTACAGCCCACATTGCGCGGACCTCACATTCTAGCAAACACCGAGGAACATCAAGTGGACTAGACGCTCAAACAAACTTCAACTAGACTTTGACTTGGAGTTCCTTAGCCGAGGAACAAAGCGCCTTGTCACGCTACACCTCGGTCGAACACCTCAAGCCTTGACTTCAGAACTAGGGGAGTGGTGTTCGGGTCATGGCTAAGCTGGTCTAGAGAGACACGTGGCCGCCCTGTCATCGCCCGATCAGCCCAAGCATGTCAGCATAGCTCGGCCAGGTCCGCAGCATGCACTCTTTCCGCGGCCTAGGTCGGGCTATGCTATTACTGTGGCCCCCCATCTTATCCCCTCAGCCATGTCAGCTACCTGTGGCGCGGATAAACATAACTACGAATAAAGAGGAGTAAGGAAAACAACTCCATCGGGGATTAGGACTCTATCACAAATACCTTGGCAGCTTACCTCATCCTGACAACCCCAGAAGTCCAATCCAACCACAACACGGGTCCGCAACTATAAGAAGGTATTCCATGCTCAAGGTAAGGGACCCCTAACTTCGGACACCCATATTGCTACTTAGCTCGGACTAGCACCCTTATTGCTCGGTCCGACCATCTACCACATTCTACTGACTTGAGCGTCGGAGTGCCTATCCGGGGATAACTCCTCAGGCCTTTGACTTCTCCTTTCCTAATCACAAATCTTGTAGCACAGACTCGTCCTTATAACTCGACACCACCCTGTTGGCAAGGACTATGTGATTGCTCTTCTCAATTCATGCACCACCTCGGATTGAAGAACATTAATCCTCATAGATTATATACGCTACATAAATCTCCTTCATCAATCCTTCGTCAAATCCAAAAAATGCTCTCAATATTTTAGCTGAATTACCATCTTTTTAATCAAGCTTGGGCATCCATGATTGACAATTGTTTGAATGCCATCCTTAGATAATGGTTTAAAAATCTTGATCATGCGCAAAGCTTAATAAGGATTTCTTAAGTAGTTCAAGTCCTTGCAATCAATGATAATGGCAAGGCTCTCTCCACCCTAAGCTTGGTCTTGGCTATGGCCAAAGAGGCTTCAGTAGTTTGGCATATTTCAAATTATAATTTCATCATTGTCGACAAAAGCAAAAAGTTACAGCATTGGAAGAGTAGTCTTGGAGAAGGGTATGTCGGGTGAAGCAAAAGTTTGGTATATTTCTACTAAAAAATTTGGAATTTTATGCTTTAATGGTTGTAAAGGTCTTTCTGTAATTTTAAATTTTCTATTATTGAAAATGTAAGGGAATGGAGGTGTTTATACCTTTTTCCAAAACAATGGGAGAGGTTTTTGTTAGTGTCATAATATAAAGGAAGTTTATATGATTTCCAAAATACCTAAAAGTTTTATATTTTTCCATATAATTTAATGTATGTAAAATTTTAGTTAAATTGAAATGGATATAAATATAAATAAAGTTAATAAAGTAATGGAGAGGAGAGAATTAATGGCATTTGTTATTGAAGGAGATTTAGTGACATAATTAATGATGAGAGTTAATTAAAGTAGTTAACGAGAAAGAGGATAGAGAGAGAGAGAGTAAATTGTGAGTTAATGAGGAGAGATAAGTCTTAAATGTGATTGACCAATTGAGTTATTTTGTTCAATTTTAAATTTAAAAAAAAAATAAGATGAGAAAAAAAGGGTCTTTCAAAAGCAATTAGAAAGTAGAAACATACCAACTTGTCACATTCTATTTTAGTATATGTTTGGTATAATTTCCGTTTATTCACTAATCGTTTGTATTTGATTTGTTTGCAAAACTGAAAAAATTAATAATGAAAACAATTTATTGACAAGTGCCACTAAACTCCACATCAGCATAACAGTGAATAAATGTCTAGCCGTTGGAGGAAGCATTAAAATGAAGCTTCCCTCAACTGTAGCATGCACATAAATTAAGGCCAACTTTTGCGAATTTCTATGCGTACGAATCAGCATAATGGGCTAAATGCTGAAATGGTGTCTATGTGATAGTGCATATTAAAAAAATGCCCACGGTTTTAAACATGACTTAAATGTATACAAATTATAGATAAGGAGACGCTTAATCTGATGTTGATGTCTTTTGGTTTTGGGAGAATAACTAATCAGCCCAGATCAGAATTTTATAGTCCCAAAGTACAGGGGGAATGCATCCTGCCTGTGAATTGATGCCAAATTCACAGGCAGGATGTGGTTTATAGGGGGGGAGGGCTAGTAGCAGGGGGGGCTGGAATTCAGCCGTACTTCTCCCTTTGGCTTTTGGTCTCAGAAAAATAGGCATATCCTGACTGATCAAGAGAGAGGATTTGAAGAAACACCTAGATTCTCTAAGTGAAATTAACTCGACAGGGAGTGAAACAAAGAGAAAAAGGGGGTATTGAAGTCCAAGAGAAGACAAACCAAAGGAAGGTGGCGATTGTGCAAGTTTGACTTAGTATTAGGATGTTGGACCTCTCAACCAAATCCACAAATTCGAACGCAAAATTAAAAATAAAAAAAGCCACGAATTCCAACGCACATACCGGGGGTTCATGCGAGTTTTGTGTTCGTTCTTAACCAATCAATTCCCTTTTCCCCCTCGTTTCTCGTAAATAAAAACAAATTGGGTTTCCGTATCATCCATGGTTTGCACTGTCGATGACCTTTCTCCGGTCTTTCTCAAATCTCCAAATGACATCTCTCTTTAATCTACAATGGCTTCTTTTTTCTGCTGGATAAACTCTTAACATGATAAACTGATTGATTATAATGAGAATCTCAAGATCTTCATCAACTCAAATAAGCTCGAAGAGATTGTTGTCAAGTAACCACGATGGCATCATCAACTAGCCCAACCCAGATGTCGTCGTCATCCTCCGCAGGACGTCCACCAACAGCTTTGAAATTTGCCCGACGAACATCCAGCGGCCGTATCGTTAGCCTCTCTCGGGACGAAGACGTAGACGGTTTTGGTGAGTATGGAAACTCCAATGACTATATTGATTACGCCGTACTAATGCCTCCGACACCGGACAACCAGCCCACGGCTGCAGGCGGCAGTGGTGCAATTGCCGGTGCATCCAGTGCTTCTTCCATGTCGTCTGACCGGCAACACCACCACCCCCAGTCTAAACCTGATGAACTTGGTTCATACGGGCAAGGGACTATTTTTGGAGGGGAAGCATCAAGACGGATTGGAATGAACAGAAGAGGTGCAGAGGAGGAAGGTGGTGGTGGTGGTGGCGGTGGTGGTGGCGGTGGAGGATTAGGCAAAAAGATGGATAGAAGAATGTCATTTGTGAAAACGAACAAGTCTATGTTGTTGAGAAGCCAAACGGGGGATTTCGATCACAATCGTTGGTTGTTCGAGACCAAGGGAACGTATGGGATTGGGAATGCGTATTGGTCACAAGACGATGAATTTGGTGATGACGGAGGGATGTCAATGTCTGATTTTATGGATAAACCTTGGAAGCCGCTTACCAGGAAGATCAATGTCCCTTCTTCCATCCTCAGCCCTTATAGGTATGCATTTAATGCTCTCTCCCCTTTCATGTTTGGGAAAGTGTCTAAAACTCACCATTACTATTTTACCCTTTATTCTTTTATAAATGGAGCGCTTTTGATTCAAACAAAACTCATTCGACACTCCATATCTACTTGCCGGTACAACTGGTACTATATCCCTTTTAATTTCAAATGTAACAAGAAATGAAATCAAGAAAAGATCAATGGTCAAGAAGAGGACATGTGGCTATGTAGGACCCAAAGTCCACTTCTATCAGATGTCCGTTAGAACAAAGGTGTATTGAATAAAAGTTAGACTGACATAAAAATATGCTTAATAAGGTTGATATGCCATTTGGGGGCATTTTGGTCATAAAAATTGCATTTATGCTAACATGGACAATTTCTGTCAATGGGACACTAACGGTGCTTTTGACGGATGGTGAGTTTTGAAAAATAATAAGTCATTGACATGGGTTTCTTTGGACGTTTTAGTGAGTTTAAGAGAAATGCTAAAAAACCATGGTGAGTTTTAGATGATTTCCCTTCAATCTTTTTATCAGTTTATATATTACTAATTGTTACATTAAGACTTCACAATTAATAAAATTATTAATGAATTAAAAAAGATGAAAATAATAATTAAATTAGTAAAAAATTCAAATAGTATATTTTATTAGTTTAGAAAATATTTTTTATTAATTTAAAATCCATTTAAAAATAATAAAAGTCAATAATGTTAATGGATATTTGTCTAAAAATTAAAAAAAAAACAAAACTTGTGAATAAAAATTGATAACTAAGAAAAACATAATAACAATTGCAATCAATTTATTGTGATTTAAAAATAACATAAACTAATGTAAAATAATTAAATTTAATAGAAATAGTAGAAATTTTTACCTTTTTAAATTAATTAAATAAAAATATAATTAATTAATTTTATTTGATTCAAACTTGTTTGATCCAATTAGGAATGTCGTATTGCTTCAATTTCACTTAACAAAGCTTATGCATGGCATGAGTCTTGACTCATGTAATTGTAAATGTAAATTTTGCCCCATAAATAATTTGGTATTACATCTCTCAAAGGAGTGGTGCAAAGAGTTAGAACTTTTTTTTTTTTTTTTGCATTGTACAAGGTGCAATTTTATACGGCTCATGATGCAATATTACAACTCAGTGAATTTTATAGTTTTTTTGTTTAGTGCATTTCTTGTTGGGGGTCAACTATGATACTAGAAAGACATGATACTCAAAAAATCTAGTCAATCAACTGGTATTATTATAGTGGTAAATCTGGTGATATTCATTAAAACTTATGGGGGGGTTTGATTTCTTCCGGTATGTCTTTCCAACATCACAGATTTACCTTTGTTGTATTAATTGTACTAGTAAGAAAACCCATGCAAAGCATAGGGTTGAATAGAAATTTGGTTAGGTTTGAGTTGGCGAATTTGGGTTTTGACATCAACCTAGGTTTGGTCTTGTGTTAGCACTTACCCTTATCCAATCCATCTGATTTATAACCCATGCATTATTTGAGAGAACCAAAAGGGGTTCAAAAATATTTAAGTGGAAATGAGGGATTACAATGGGGGAGAGGGAGATGTTACAAACATTGACTACTTAAGTGTGTGTATGAGTGAGAGAGAGAGAGAGAGAGAGTAATTTAAGAATGATGAGTAAATTAATACTAAGAGAGTTTTGTGAGACTAGGTTTTCAAATGACGAAATTCCGAAACATAGTTGTAAGTTGAAATTTATGAGACTTTATGATGGGAATATAAAATATATTTTAAATATTCAATGTGTTAAGTTTGGCTCGAAAGCTCGAAAATAAATATATTTGTATAATATATATATATATATATATATATGATATAGAATATAAAAATATATTTTATAATATGTATGTATGTATATATGTATGTATGTATTAATTGAGCCAAGCTCACGAGCTAAACTTTTTATTGGTCGAGCTCGAGCTCAAATAACTAATCAAGCTTAATTAAAATTGAACTTGAATCGAACCTAATCGAATTCGAGCCTATACTATTCGATTAGAGCCCTGGAGGAACCAGGGGAGCCATGACCCCTGCTATGACTGAGAAAACTTCATATATATTACACTCTCCCATGTATATTTTCCCCCTCCTCTACTCCCCCGCCTCAATGGTT